CCTGCCTCTACCTTATCTAAGGGCTCCTCAGCCACACCAACTCCAGGACTCCTGAACTCACGGCCTGGCGATACCATGTCTAAAGCACAGAACTTCAGGCTTTGCTTCTGCAGTGGTGCCACAGTATCTTCATCATCTGTTCCTTCAACATCAGAAAGATGCTGAATATGTTAGGATTTTGAATTAAAGTCCTCCCCTGGGATCTCAGTGCAGACTTCAAAATGTTTTATTAGAAATAAAGACTCAATTCCAGCAATTCCAGCTGACAACTGAGGTGTCTTATAGCTTCAAAAGCAAGTAAGACTTGCAGATGAATTACTAGACAGATAACTATTTGTTATTACATACCATACAAATACTGGAGAGAATTATGGACACTGCCACCCATGTCATTGAGATTATTAATTCTAGGTGGCAGGCCAATGCTCAGATACTTCTACTTAGAGGCCTCTCACATCTCCTCCCCACAATCTCGTTTTATTCTTCTCTCTACAGTGTAGGATTTTAATGCTGAAAGAGGAGTCTGGCTAGTCAAAGAAAATCTACAAAGTTTACCTTGATGATCCTTTTTGACAACCTATTGAAACCAAAGTAGTAATTTGCCAATTCTTGGCATCGGGAGCTGTTTAGGGCAGAGGCCTGATGTTGAATTGCCTTGTGTGTGGTGCCCTGTTGAACCTAAAGATGTAAGAGATAAACCTAAAGATATAATGTGCCACAGAGGCTTATTTTGGATACACCTAAGATTTATCAATAGCAATTTTACAGCGTAGCTACAACATTTTAAATAGGATAGAACAACACTTTAAGTAATGAGTTCATAGTAAGTCCTAAATAAATGTTGTTTATTATTTTTAAGCCACAGTACTTTTCTGCAACATTTCCAGGGCCCTGATTAATTGGAAAGTTTTTCTGATCTCTGATGGTGAGTGATAATGACAGCAAGGAAGGAAATCTTGCAGAAGCAAATTATAGGTTGTGAGTAAGCAAAGAAAGTAAATTGTTTTAGTTATCTCATCCTGTAGCTCCTGTCTGTGAATATGGCCAGCATAGGTAAGATGGACCTGCCGCTGAGGTAGAACCTGCATCTGTAGACATTAACTCCCCAAGTTACTAAGAGGGGTTAGTACACATACCTCTATAAATTTTATAAGAGCTCGTTGAAACTCAAGTACTTATTCAAGGACAATAAAAAAAAAAACTTCCCTAAAACCACAATCAGCAGTTTCTGGAATGCATCTGAAATAGCCTTCTGAATAGCAAGCTTCTGGATTGTCTTCCTTTTCATAAGCAATGATAAAGACCCTAAATCCAACCCAAACAAATGGATTTAAATGTCTAGCTGAACAAAAATTGGTTTTTATTCCATTATGTCTAAAAATAAAAACGCATCCATGATTCTTAGATCATTGTCTTAGCGATTTTGGGAAAGTTCAGCACAACAGTATGGTTGAATGCCTCTGCTGCAGGTATATCCTGGCAGGGTACATTGTTACTGCCCCAATCCATTCTGGGAGTTCATGAAGTACCAGAAGGGAGATGCAAGCCAGGAATGTGGCTCAAACCTCACATCGCTCATAGACTTCAAATGGACAAGCTGAAACGACACTCCTACAGACTTTACTGTCCTGTGTGTCAGGGGCTGGAATCACACAGTGAGAAAGGTTTGGTGGTAGTGCAAGATGATTTGGCCTCTCTCTAGGCATCACCCCCAAGAGCCTAGGCCAACTCCACTTGCTAACAGCCCTACCCCTGCCTTAAAACCCTAAGCCTGAGTGCCATGGATTCTAGGAAAAAAACAGTACCAACTGCAATATTCTTTCTAGGTCCTTTCTGTATTTGAATAGATAGCGAATATACAACATGCTTTCTGTATCTGACTTTATTTTGTTAAGGCCCTTTCATAGGAGGCAAAGGACTAAACATTTACACAGCTTGTTTAACTCTTTAGATAATGATTTTGCTGGGATAATTGAAGGGTACAAGAGATCTCTGTTGGAAGGTCTACTTTAGCACAGAGCAAATTCTTAACCAAAAATTATGGCCCTCCTCCTAATCTTCTCGGCAGGAAGTGAGCTCTAAAACTGTAAAGTTAAAGGTTCTGTCAGATATTGTGTAAGACAAAAACCTGTATTGTAATACAGAAAAACTCTGCCCAGGCCTTTAAGCTTAGCAAGGGGAAGGCTTGAAGATGTACTGAAAAGAAGAGTTTTAGAAAGGACAGAGATCCTCCCCCTGCCCGGCCCCCAACCCCACACTCTGGAAACAGACCTGCCTCTACCTTATCTAAGGGCTCCTCAGCCACACCAACTCCAGGACTCCTGAACTCACGGCCTGGCGATACCATGTCTAAAGCACAGAACTTCAGGCTTTGCTTCTGCAGTGGTGCCACAGTATCTTCATCATCTGTTCCTTCAACATCAGAAAGATGCTGAATCTGTTAGGATTTTGAATTAAAGTCCTCCCCTGGGATCTCAGTGCAGACTTCAAAATGTTTTATTAGAAATAAAGACTCAATTCCAGCAATTCCAGCTGACAACTGAGGTGTCTTATAGCTTCAAAAGCAAGTAAGACTTGCAGATGAATTACTAGACAGATAACTATTTGTTATTACATACCATACAAATACTGGAGAAAATTATGGACACTTCCACCCAAGCCATTGGGATTATTATTAATTCTAGGTGGCAGGCCAATGCTCAGATACTTCTACTTAGAGGCCTCTCACATCTCCTCCCCACAATCTCGTTTTATTCTTCTCTCTACAGTGTAGGATTTTAATGCTGAAAGAGGAGTCTGGCTAGTCAAAGAAAATCTACAAAGTTTACCTTGATGATCCTTTTTGACAACCTATTGAAACCAAAGTAGTAATTTGCCAATTCTTGGCATCGGGAGCTGTTTAGGGCAGAGGCCTGATGTTGAATTGCCTTGTGTGTGGTGCCCTGTTGAACCTAAAGATGTAAGAGATAAACCTAAAGATATAATGTGCCACAGAGGCTTATTTTGGATACACCTAAGATTTATCAATAGCAATTTTACAGCGTAGCTACAACATTTTAAATAGGATAGAACAACACTTTAAGTAATGAGTTCATAGTAAGTCCTAAATAAATGTTGTTTATTATTTTTAAGCCACAGTACTTTTCTGCAACATTTCCAGGGCCCTGATTAATTGGAAAGTTTTTCTGATCTCTGATGGTGAGTGATAATGACAGCAAGGAAGGAAATCTTGCAGAAGCAAATTATAGGTTGTGAGTAAGCAAAGAAAGTAAATTGTTTTAGTTATCTCATCCTGTAGCTCCTGTCTGTGAATATGGCCAGCATAGGTAAGATGGACCTGCCGCTGGGGTAGAACCTGCATCTGTAGACATTAACTCCCCAAGTTACTAAGAGGGGTTAGTACACATACCTCTATAAATTTTATAAGTAACTAATTAAGGGGTAATGTGCATTAAGAAGCTTCTTTGAGAGTCCAAATAGCTTGTTAACACCACTACAAGGCGGGTGAGGGCTAAGGCGGGACTCCTGGTGTCCTGATCACCAGAGGGGCGGCTTTCCCCATCCCCCCCTCTATCCTGGCCCAGCTCACACGCAAGACCTGAGTCGTGGTCCCAGAGCTCAGCTCCCACACCCGTAAGGTTTTGTCATTTCCAGTGACAACTGCAAAAAGTACCGACACCATCCTTCAGTCACCGCGCATGCGCGGCCAAGGCTCAGGCAGTACTGCGCCCGGGCAACGTGCGCCCGTTCTTTACAAAAAGAGGATCGTAGGGGAGCTGGCGTAGCAGGGCCGCTCTACGAGGCGTCCCCGTGAGCCGCGGGACCCGGGGGAGTGCCCAGCGGCCCTGGGTAAGACAGCCATCGGGCTTCCCGGGGCTGGGCTCAGGGGGGACTGGGCCAGTCAGCCCGCGGCCACCGCTGTCCGGCGCGAGGTTATCCCCAGCGGCCTGGCCATCTTAAGGGGTATGGCATGCGCTCCTGCTGGGCGGCGCTGCCTCTTCTCAGCCCTGGACGGGCACACACGCGCCAGGCCGAGCAGCGCTGGGAGGAGCGCCTGGCCAACCTCAGCCACGCTGCAACTGAAGTCGCTGCGAGCTGCCCGGCTTCTCCGCCACTGCGCAAGAGCGCCCGAAGAACCCGGGGAAGTGCGAGGTGGATCGCTTGGCTGGCTGGAAGCCCTCCGTGTACTACGTCATGCTGATCCTGTGCGTGACTTTCCTCCGCGTCTGCTGCGCCTCAGCCATGTACGCCTCCATCGGAGTAGAGCTACTTTGCCTCGCTCTCCTGCTTTGTGGCATTCAGCATCACTGGCTTTGGGGACCTCTGTCAGCAGCCAGAATGCCCAGTATGAAAGGCAAGACCTCTGCTGCCTCACCAAATTTGTCTTCATTCCTCATTGGCGTCTGCTGCACCTACTCCCTGTTCAGTGTCCTCTCTGTCCTCATCAAACACTCTGTGAACTGGATCCTGAGGTAAATGGATTGTGGGTGCCACCAGCAATGCCAAAGACGACCCTGGCGGTCACGGAGGAACATGGTGATGCTGGGCAACGTCAGAACCAGAGCAACATCTCCACAGAAACAGATGGAGTGATGGAGAGTGACACAGGCTGGCAGCGTCCCTTGGGGGAGAGGATCTCCATGAAGGGCTTTTTGGCAGCAACAAGGTGTCAGTAGCCATCCTCCAGACGCAGCTGTCTGAAGCAGCCAACGGTTGCCCCCACCAGGCCAGCACGCTGTCCAGGTGTAGAGTCAGCGTTCTGTATTTTCCTTGGTTCTTGTCCCCACCGCAACAAAGAATTGAAGGGCAGAGTCACAGTAGTGAAGTGGAGGAGAAGTTTTTTTTTAAGTCACTTAAAGAGAGAAAATATGCAGGAGACCTTAGGGAGGTCTGAGACGCACCCTGAAAGGCTAGTGAAAGTTTAAGGGCTACACACATATAAAGTACGGGCGACCGCAGAGGGAGGTGCGCTGAAAAAGTTAAAAGTTAAAAGTTATGCACTTAGAAAGTGTGGCGACCCCAGAGAGAGGAGCGCTGTTGTAAGTCCGGGGAAAGGAAATCCCAGGGCAAAATACTTCTAAAAACCAAAATCAGTCAAAGGGAGAAATAAAGTTTAAAACCCATTTATTGCTTACAAACTGCACTCCAGGGCCATCTTTCTCTGCTCCCAAAGAAGCCAGCAAGCCAGCCAGCCCCCTCTCCTTAACCTCTCAGGTTCAGACACGCCCTCGGTTGCCCAGGTAATTATCAATTGATACTCTCTCCACCCCTGAGGATATGCAAATGCACTAAAGCCATATTTATTTCCACGGCTCATTGCCTATTGATATGCAGATGTACTAAAGCCAGGAGAGAGATTCTGGAAATATTACAATTTTACCCACAAGCACCCTGAAAGGTTGGGGATTCCCCCTTTTAAGGATTTTTCAGGAATGTGACCATAGGCTGGGGGTGCAGTCTTGTTAAGTGGTTCCTGAATATTTAAAATTAACTTAAGGAATTTACTGCTCTGATTTCTCCCTGAGATGCTGGAGTCCTGGTCTGGGAGCATATCAAACAAGACTCCTGCCCAGCCCCTAAGGTGGGCTAAGCCACTATCTGTTTGCTAAAGAGTTAAGAATATTACTTCTCAACTTCCTGGGTTTTAAAATGCAAACTTATCTTTTAAGATGTAATCCTTCCTGCCCCCTACTATGTGGTTTATGGCTGGGCCTGCATGCTAATTAGTTGCCCAGGTTGCAACCACACCTGATTAGGGACTGTGGGTAAAACTGTAATATTTCCAGAATATCTCATCTGGCTTTAGTACATCTGCATATCAACAGACGCTCAAGGGTGGGTTTCCCTATGCATGGCACTATGGACAACTCTGCTCTGAAGGAAGCCCTGAGCCAGGCACATACTCAGAATCCCCTTGTCCCCCTTTCTTGAAGGGACTGGGAGAGGCTGTGAGTTCAGCCATTCAGAGTTCCAGGGAAAAATTAGGATCTCCAAGATTTTTATTTCCAAATGAGGAACAGATGAGCAGGAAATCAAGCCTTACCTAAACCTTTCCTCCTTTAGGCAGTTAAACCCCTGGAGCAAGACGAGTAAAGAAACAATGTAATGTATAGGCCACTTTTGTGAGTCACTTTTAAGACGGTAAAGATAAGGAGGAAGGCCTGAGGCTTCAGGTTCCCACATCCCTGGAAGATGGCTGTTTGCTGGAGCTGAGATGAGATTTCTAAAGCTGGGCTTGAAGAGGCTGAAAACAGCTCCCAAATGAGCCCAGCCCCAGCATAGAGCTGAGCCGGATGTGTCTCCTTGGCCTCCAGACCCCCAGGACACTCCTTGCTCTCACCTGTCCCCACTGGTTTCTGTCAGCCTGTTGTTCATAATGGCCAAGGCTTCCTGGTTGTCCAGAACAGCTCCACTGTGACTCACCGTGTCTGCCGGCTAGCCTCTCAGCAGCACTCAACATTCAAAAATTAGTGTTCATGTCTCCTTCCCACCGGGCAGCTTCTTCAGTGGGAGAAAGTAATTTCATTTCCTTATTTATTCATTCATTCACTCAGTCAACAGACTATCAGTCTCCTCCTGTTGTATGCCAAGAACTATGCGTGATTCTGGAAATGAGAAAAGACACGGTTTCTTCAAACACTTAAAGATGTTATAAACTAGTGATATAAGAAGATGCACAAACAAACCAAGGCTTCCACGCACCCTGAGAATTCACTGTCCCTGTGTTAGGCAGGAAAACAGATACGAGCAGGGTGGGAAGAGAATAAGGCCAGGAGAGCCCACTAAAAAGACCCAGAGTTAACCAGTTAAAGCTCAAAAAGCAGGAGTAACTTGGCCTGGAATGTTTGACTGTGGGGGGCCCGGCCGACGGCCGAGGCTGAGCCCCACTCTAGCTGGACAACGCCCTAAAGATGGCGCCTGCTTCCTAGACACCACCCTTCCTGGCCCTACAGCTCCGCGCATAAGGAAGTCTCAATGATTGGCTTGTCCCCATTTCCGTGCTCGTGCTCATAGCGTGCTTTTCACATGCTTCCAATAAGACTGAACCTGGCGCGTGATCAGTCAGCTGATTGGTTGGGATATGCTATATAAGCTGCTGCCCTGGAGGAAGTGGTGGTGGTTGTTTTTTGCTCTTGCCTTTCCTTAGTTGTATGCTCAGATGCCCATAATAAAGATTCCTAAGGAACCAGGCCTTCGGTGATCATTCTCCTGCCATCGCCCTAGATGGCGGGACGCAATATTTGACTATCCCCCAGATAAAGGAGGGTACCTCAGCATAGCCCATGTCTTATTGTGTTAATGATGCAGGCCCAGCTTAATTTTTAACTTCACATATATGCTGTTTTTTCTCCTTTGGCTCTAATCAAGTTATTTGCAAACTGGGCAACTTATTTAGCATGCAGCCCAGCTGTAAACAACAGTAAAAGGCAGGAAGTTAAGAAGTAAGAATCTTAACTTACTCTTTAGCAAAGACACAAAACTCAGCCCACTTTGCGGTCAGGACAGGCAGTCTTGTTTGATATGCTCCCAGACCAAGACCCTGGTTATCACAGGGAGAAATCAGAGCAGTAAATTTCTTTAGTTAAGTTAATTTTAAATATTCAGGGACCACTTAACAAGTCTGCACCCCCCGCCTGTGGTCACATTCCTGAAAAATCCTTAGAAGGGGGAACCCCCAACCCTTCAGGGGGCTCCTCTCTTTGAGGTCGTCCACACTTTCTGAGTGCGTAACTTTTTTCCCAACCTTTCAGTGCACTCCTCTCTGAGTCCTCTGTTGCATTTTTTCTCTCTTTAAGTAACTTTAAATAGAACTTCTACTCTGCTTCATTACTGTGTCTCTGCCCTTCAATTCTTTGTTGCGGTGGGTACAGAGGAAAATACACAATGCTCCCCCAACACTAGCAATTAGTCTTTTCCTTTTGAACTTTAGACATTTAAATTTCCTGACACTGTGTGAAAAAAGTCCACCAGAGATGCAATCCTTTGACTCATTAAGCCATTAACAGTCTAGCATGAAATCCTTAAAAAAATTCCCGGATTTTCCTATGTGACTCTGTTAAAGTGTGTGTGTGTGTGTGTGTGTGTGTGTGTGTTTTGTACATGTGGGGGTGAGATGATGTGGGAGGTTGGGAGGCAAGGTGAGAAAGAGAGAGATTTGAAAAAATCAAGAGCCGGTTATAAGTAGGGCACCAACGCTGGGGTTCAGAATGTCCTAATAGCTACTTTGCTATTAGAGGACACACAAAAGGGAAAATAAATTCTCAAGATCTTTATTGTAATCCTAGAATGTTAAGAAAAGAAAAACAATTTCATAAAATCTATTCCATCTTATCCTACAAGTATGCCCTTCCTTCAATTTTGATACTAAAAATTGTTTTATGAAGAGATGCTGATAGAGAATAGCTGTTTTAATACTTGGGCATTAAACTACAAAGTTGACTCAAGATCTTTATTGTAATCCTAGAATGTTAAGAAAAGAAAAACAATTTCATAAAATCTATTCCATCTTATCCTACAAGTATGCCCTTCCTTCAATTTTGATACTAAAAATTGTTTTATGAAGAGATGCTGATAGAGAATAGCTGTTTTAATACTTGGGCATTAAACTACAAAGTTGAAATTCTTATTATGGTCTTAATATTTTTGACATTTTACTGGTCTGTGAAATCCAAAAGTCTGGGAATGTGAATAGTCAAATCTCTCATTTTATAGGAGCTTCCCACGGGGAGTCATGTTCTCATGGCTCAAGGACCTATGTAGATGAATAAGGGAAAGGGGTTACTCCATCCCCTAGTACTCTGAACATAGTGGATGGAATAGAGTCTAGGTCACTGATTACTTCTTCGACTAATTTCCTCCCAAGAACCAGTTTTCCCTTCCTGCCTTGGTATTCTAACATGGATAGTTTCAGAGTTTGTCCTATTTTAAATTTATTTTCACTGCCTGCTTTGGACATTTTCTTACCTAAGCTGTTAGGATTTCGTACATTCAGGACGAAATGATACAGTGATGACATGCTTCAGTCCTCAATTCTTCTCTGTCTCAGTAAATAGAAAGGAAAAATAGCCCATCTGTCTGGACCTGTATAGAAAAGTTTGGAGAAAAATAAAACAGGAAAGAAATGCTCCATTATTTAGTGAAATAATCTATCTTTGATCTGCCCCACAGCTCCCAAGGCAGTCTTTGAGGCTAATCAAAACAGTTGCCACATTTCACTTCCATAAAGATAAGCCCTCTGAGCATCAGAAGGGCAATGGACTAGGAGTCAGCACACCTTTTATCTGTAGAATGAGGGAACTGAGCCAAAATGTAAATAATCTCTAGTGAAAAATATTCACTGTGAATCAAAAACCATTTGTATTATGGTTTGTGGAAAAGCCAGTTGCTGTAGAGTCCCCCAGGTCTGAGATGTTGAGTCAGTTCTCACACATTTTCCCAACACAATCTTAATGAAGCAAAGACTGCACTAAGACAGGAGGAGGATGAAGGAGAATGCAGAGTGGCCCCATATTTTTATTTCACTAGCAATAAACACACTGATACAAGGGCTTCATATTTGAGAGGAAACACTGAGGTGACGGGTACAAGGCCATGGATGAGCTACGAGGAAAGAGTGGTTAGAGAACTAAAATAATTTCAGAGGAAGTATAACCAACGTGGCTGAAGTGTTTTGGCTGCATATTGCCTGAGAGTCATTCTTCATCTCCATGACATTCAGGCCCACGTGAAAGTGGGCAGGGGAAGATGAGGAAGTGAAGGAGCTTGCTTGCACAGAGCCCACCAGTGATCTCAGAGGTTTTAATACCACCAATTTATTTTCAAAGCAGATATTCAAATCCTCAAAGTTTGAGGTACTGTACTTAACCAGACATGTGACACTCACATTCTTTGTCTTCATAACATTACATTAGTGAATATTAACCAGTGTTGCAAATGAAACAAGTTAATGGTACTAAACAT